AGATACATTTTTTTAAATCTCAAATGGCTAGCTCCAGGATGTCATAAAGTTTCTATTCTTGCAGAAGAAAATCTATGAGTGTATGATGGAAACACTGAGCGATAAGTCACATCATACTCAACTGTAAAGAAGTGGATGTCATCTTCAGTGTGGTGACAGAGATCCATGATGCAGTACAATTTGAGGACCTTCAATGGTATCAACCCCAGTAAATGTTCATCATATTGTTGACCTAATTTTTAGATGATTGAGAAACTTCCGCCTGAAGAAATGCTGAGGCACTATAGATATCCAGTAAATATACTGGGTTTATAATTCCTGAGTAGTTGGGCATTTGGAAGCTATCAACCAAGTTGGTACCAAAGTGTTTAAATGCCAAGAAGAAGTGGACACTATCAAATTGTTTTTTTTTATGCAGTTTCAGTAATCTTGTGATATTTTTTTTAAATGACTTGTCACTGGTGATGAAATATGATTACTCCATTATGATTTAGAGACTGTAGCAGAACTCTGATTTTCCATGTTCAAAGATCTTCAAAATCCAAAAATAAGTAGGAAAGGTTCATGGTTTTCAGGGATGAGGAAGGTATTTTGATAAATATCTTCAGATGGGCCAAACAGTTAATGCAGAATACTACTTGACTGTGCCAATTAAAAGGAGTGTTGAAATAAAAACAACAAAGGAATCTATAGATAAGTGTTCCGTTTTTGCTTACAATGCTGGCTAAAGCTATAGATATTTTGAAGAATTTGAGGTTGAAGTGGATAGACCATCCACCCTATTCAGATTTTGTTACATGTGACTATTTTCTGTTTCTCCTTAAGAGGAGTTTGAAAGAGAGGCAGTTTTTGAAGGATTCAGAAGCAATAACAATGGCAGTGTATAAGAAATTTTTTGGATGGGTTAAATAAATTGCAGCATGAATATACAGAATAGCATGTATATTAATGGTTCTAGGTCATTCCCTTTTTTTTGTTTCTATTTGTCAATTGCTTAGTCTATTACCACTGTGCTCTCTATGATAACTTAACACTCCAGAGAGACTGGAGGTCAAATGACAAAAGATTAGTTTTTAAAAACAGATTGGATGGAAAAAGCAAGTTATTGGTGACAAAGCATCTAAAATATTTATTTTATCAAATCAGAAGTGTAGCTGAGGAACATTTTCTAGAACCCTAAAGTGCGCCTTTCTGGGCCTTTAAAGATAGGACTCTTAACAGGGCTAATGAATAATGATAATGATCACCAAGGTTAAAAGAATGTCCTCACACCCTTCACTACTAACAGACATACACACACTGATACAACTCATAAACCCTTTAACACAGATCAACAGAGTAATTCAAATATTTATTCATGTGATGATTCACCAGTACACTACTAACTCAATCATAACATTACTATGAATGCTTGATGAACTACCCACGCTAATTTTTGTGAGAACTTACACAAACTATTATGGATTTCTTTACTATTATACCCGTCAGCATACTTTAGTACAAGTAAAAATTAATCTTATCGTAGTGATATGTAAATGACTGCCTAATTAGCATAGCTAAGGCATAGACTATATAAATGGCCAGGCAGTGATGGTAGAGCAGCTCTTGTTATGGACTGATAAAATACAAAGAAAATTTCACTTTTAATACTTGTTATTGTTACTAAATGGCTCATAGTCTTATTTCTTTACAAACTTTAGTACTATGTCCTTATAATATTGCTGAATAAATTTAATATTTTCTCTTTGTTACTACCTTTCAAGAGGAACATCTGAACATTCAGTATCAAGTAGCATTAGTGCATTTACAAATTGGTACTCTGATTTGTATCCACTTATGTCCTTGCTTAGAATTCAGCCTCCTCTGAATAGTAACTCTTACATCAGACAACTCCTCTTTGGAGAGGCTGTTAACCATCAGCATAAAGAGATTAGCTAACATACAAGAGGAACAGCTAAGATAAATGAAAGACTCTTCCCTTTCCTAAATAAGGATTGCAGTAAAATCACACTAAAACATTACTAATTCTGAGTCATCGAAGCAATAATTATATCAAACTAACTACTAAAAACTAAAATCAGCTGTCTTATAACACACAAGATTAATTAAAACAGCCAGATTAATTATGAGTTCAAAAGAAAATGTGGCTTTAGAGAAGAAAAAATGCATTCATATTAAATGACAGACACAAATGCAAATTTTATAAAATCAGAATTGAAAAGAGGGCAAACAGATGCTAATATTTATATGAACCATTAAATATTTCTTATTGAACAATAAAAAAATGATATAAGTGCATTTCATGATCACATTAGTTCTTAGTAAGAAAAAATACTATTAAAATTTATGCCTTTAAGCATGTTGATATAAATATATATGGCATTTGTCAGTCTTGAGAGATTTGGATCTATGTCTGAATAGTTATGCCTCAGCTGCTGATGGTGGTGCAACATCTGTTATAGCTGTACAGGCTCACATGGAAGTGACAGTCTCAATTGCAGTAAATGCATGTAAAGACGTTCTCTCCCAATGTTGCCGTGTTGTTTTCTTTCCCTCGAGAACACTTCTTCATAGCAGCAGGCCTCCATTTCTCCTCCCTTTACTCCAGACTTTGGTGTAAATTGCATTTCCAGCATGAGCAATCATTAGCAACATTTTCCCACCTGTCAACATCCAGGTACATCTCCCTCATGCCCCTTTTGCAGATGCCCTTCAAGTGTCCTCATGCCCTCTTGCCAGTGGCCTGTTCCTCATACAGAAGAACCTTTGGAATCTTCCCATCCAGCATACAGTGTACATGCCCAAGCCAGCAGAGCTGTTGGGGGAAGAGCATAGAGGCTGTGTAACTGGGCACTGAGTCTGACCAACTGATGCCCAGAATGCACTGAGAGGCACTGAGGCATGGCTTCAAGTCTCACCAGCTTAGAGCAACACACTGATGATGCATGGTCTATAGACTGCAATTTTGGTGTTTATAGTAAGCTTTCTTTTCTCCCAGACTCTCAAGGTCAGCTTGGCAAATATGGTGACTGCTTGTCCAATCCGCTGTTAACCTCATTGTCTAGGGAGAGAGTGCCCAAAACAGTGGAGCCAAGGTATGTGAATTTGTGAACAACCTCCTGGTTGTAGTTGTAAATTTTGATGGCAGGATGTTCATCGCCTTGTCCCATCATGTTGGGTTTCTTCACACTGATGGTCAGACTGAACTTTTGGCAAGCTTTTGAGAAATTGTCCATTTGTCACTGCAGTTGCTCTTCGAAATGTGTTTCCAGTGTTGTGTCATCTGTGAACAATATTTCTCTAATGAACACCCCATGGACTTTGGATTTTGTCCTCAGCCGAGACAAACTGAACAGCCTTTTGTCTGTTCTTGTGTGTAGGTAGACACTATCGGTTGAAGCTCTGAATGCATATTTCAGCATGACCATAAAGAATATGCCAAATAAGGTAAGTGCAAGCACAAAACCCTGCTTTACACTGCTGCGGATATTGAAAGACTCAGAATAAAAGTTGCCAAATTGAACAATACCCCCCTTCATATCTGCATGAAATGACTGGACAATTTTGATGATTCTCAGATGACAACTGTTGAGTATTTTGAACAAGTTGCCCATGCTCACAAGATCAAATGTTTTTGTGAGGTTGATGAAGGCAATGTACAGTGGTTGTCTCTATTCTCAGTGTTTCGCCTGTAGTTGTCAAAGGGAGATCATGCCAGTCGTGGAACACTGACCTGAAACCACACTAGAATTCAAGATATACCCTTTCAGTGAGCTTCTGTAGTTTACTGAGGATGATGACACAGCAAAGACCTTCCTGACAATGCTCAGCAGGGAATTTTCTCTGTAACTGTCTCCTTTATTCTTATACAGGGTGACGATGTTGTTGTCACTCATAACTTCCTCTCAGCATTGACAGAGTAGACTTGCCATGTGGTCAAACCAGAACTCCTTTGCACATTTGATGGCTTCTGTTGGAATGCCATCCAGTCCTCAGGCAACACTGTAAGCTTTGAGGACAGCCAGAAACAATTTACAGAAGACAGCCAGACATTGTACAAATGACTACTGGCTCAAACTATGTGAGAGAGCATACAGTTATCATTTGACACTGGCAACATTCATGGGATGTATGAAGGAATCAAGACAGTCATCAGCCCAACCAAACGCAAGACAGCACCATTGAAATTTGGTCCAGCAAGATTATTAAGGACAAATAGATGGAGAAGTGGGTAGAGTACTGCTTGGAACATTACTCCAAGGAAAGCAATATCTTGAATAATGTGCTGTAGCTTGTCTATCAGTGGACATTGCCTACTGATTGGAGAGCTGAGCAGAGCCACTTGCAAGTTATCCATAGGAAAGACACCAGATATAAATATAATGAACTCAGCTACATGTTGACAATATTCTTAATCTATGTTGTACAATAACCAAGGATAACCATATCTATAAAATCAAGCTCATAAAAAGAGAAAGCTCTCAAAACTTTAAACTATTAAAAAGAAAAAAGTGCAATTTCTAATGAATATCTAATGATTTTTACAGCTATAATAACTGTTCAAATGAAGAGTCTTGCTGCAAATTGAAATCATGACGATGATGGCTTTGATAATAAGATTAACAAAGAAAATAAAGTTCAGAACCTTTAGTGTGATGCTCTGCTACAGTACAAAAATGGCAATCTGTTTATTTTGAACAAAATTTAATATAACTCACCTTATTGATTTTACATGACAATTTTTATTTAGTCACTGTTAACTTCCTCTAACCATTTATATATAGTATATAAATTGCAGGTTTTGCAGTTTCAGTCTAATATGCTAAATCTTTTAAAATCTTAAGGTTTATCTAGAAGAGAAACCTAAAATGATGTACCAAAATTGATTTTAATCAATTCAGTGGGGGTGTAGCTTATTGAATGAGCCATTATATAAGGAAAATTTAAATTTCAATTTACAACAGAAATACATAATATTTGGAATAATGATGGTTACTTACTGAAAATTGACTTTATCAACAACAAATCTGGTTTCAAAGATGCCTGAAGTTAACACACGACACCTAAGTATATCCTGCAAAAAAAAAAAAGAAAAAAAAAAGACATTAAATTTTATTGTTTGGAAGAAAACAAGAAAAAAAAGTTTGATATTACAGCAGTAATTTCTATACAGTAAGATTTTTTGTATTTTGCTTTTAAAAATTTACTCCAAAACTTTATGTCATTCCTTTCTAACTGCTCTGCTTATTTAAATAAATGTCCTAAGCACACATTACTTTGCATTAAAACAATGTTACTTTTTTTATTGGTGCAGATCAATGAAAATTTAGTAACTTTATAATAGGCTGTTTAATTTTCCCCACCTCCCTCTGTTAAAAATAAAATATATATTTATTAAGCTAAGTTTGGCACAAGGCCCCATTAGGAAAGCACCCAGAGACAATTATCAAATGAAACTATTTTTTTATGAAATCATGCTGAATAATAACCACAATGACCTCAATTAAATATGTTAATAAAAGATAATTGTCAATAAAAGGTGAAATATAAGGTGGTTTCTGAAAGTTTCCGGACTGCATATGCTGTGATTGTACCATTTAATAGAAATGCACATGCAACTAACACTCATTGGTATGCAGCATACAGAGTCAGTCTGCTAATAGGCTTCAAGCTATTTACTTGTGTTCAATTATTATGCAAGGTTTTGTAATATTATGTTGGAATAGCTCTGTAATCTTTACAGCAGCTGACACATTTGAGCAATATGCTTGCTATTGAGAACCTAGATACACTTTGTCAAAATGGTGAACATTCTTTAGGTTGAACACAGCTTTCTGAGGGACACAGTCACTTCAAGGCCATTTCAAGGTGATGAGTATTCAGAGCAATCAATCATTAACAAAGCATCAGAAAATATGGAAAAAAAATGAATGTACTCATCTGGGAGGCCCATTCTCAAACAATCCATCAACTTTCTCATGTGATTAGAATCAGTTATAATGTCTGTTAATAGATTCTAGTCTGAAAGCTTCCCAATTTCACCTCATATAAATATTTTTCTATTTGCCTTATTTGTAACAGTTTACAGTGGATAGTGTAAGAAGCAGAAAAGATCTGATGTATGAACCGACATCAGAGAAAATTAAATTAGTGTTTTGTTACAACTTATCTGAAGAGGATTTCTCTAATGATTATTACAAAATTGGTATTGCAATTAACATATGCAGTTTGTTCATTTTATTCTGCAAATTTTTACCAGTATACAGAGATTTTAATAATTTTTGTCTGAATTTCTGAGATTTTACTGAGTTTATGGAGTATGAAAGAATTTGAGAAAAAATACATTAAGGAGAGAGAATAATAAAAGAACAAGAATTAAGGAGAGAATAGATAATGGTTAACATTGCATTTAAAGTTTTGAAGATCAAAGGTGAGTGGAAAGCAAGAAGTCAGAAGAGAGATCCGCAAGCAAGAAGTGCAAAAAAGAAAAGAAAAGAAAAAAGAAACTGTTGGTTATATCTAACTCTTTCAACTGTAAAATGGTTAGATCTAGCTGCCAATCTAGTATTAGACATTAAATTCATTTTCTTCAATGAAAAAAAGAAAAATAAGATCAACAAAGAAAAAAAAAAGCAGCAAACAACTCACCTGCTCTGTTGGGGTATAATCTTCAGATTTTACTATATGAACTCTGTCTAAAAAACTGAAATAAATAAAAACATTGATTAGGAAGGAAACAAACTTTCACATCATAAACCAATACATTTTACCAACAGAATATGTAAATTTATAAGACAAAATCTAATTCTTTCATTTTTCATAAAAAATTACTATGAGCAAAAGATGCATAAACTAAATCATGTCTTCCAATGCTTCTTAAAGTAGGTAAAAACTGCCACAACAGCCAAAGTTATTCTAATAGAGTTTTGTGTTAAATTTTGATAGATGAACAATATCAACTTCAGTGACAAAATCTCCAAATGACTTAAAAACTTCCAGTTGACTCACATTATTAAATTCAAAATTTAGTTTGAAATTTTTGCATATTTTCTTTTTATTTCAATAAAAATATGGCATAATTCTAAATCTAATTTCAAAGTGCAAACCAAAAATACCACTTTATTCATCAATGGACAGTATCTTCTATTTTTATGTATATACAGTGGCAGGTTGGTGGTGGTGAATCAATGAGTCTGCAGCCTGACATGTAGTTCTTAGCCAAATTCAAATCAGAAATTTTCACTGTATGTTTGATTGATGCTACTAATATTCACTACTAAATTGATAAGCAAGGAGATTATGTTGAAAATAAGTCCTTTTTCATCATTAGGTTACATACTTATTGATGTACCTACATAATTCATTGAATATTAGACACAAAGTCATTAAAACACTTAGGTAAAGAAATGAAGTAAATATTTTATATTAGATGCAACATTTTTAAAGTTCTTATAGTAGTCAATAAAACTAAGACATTAATTAGAATAGCTTTTAATTTCTTTTATGAATAAGATATATATATAGTTGTCTTAAGAAAAAAATCTTTTTGATGAATGAATTTTTACAAAAATTGTTTTCATTTCTTTTTAAAATTTGAATTATAGTTTATAAAGTTTTAAATCATTTAAAATTCTGTATTAAGTAAAAACTATATTTACTACAATTCAGCAACTCTCAGTATTTTTAAAATAATTTTGAATTATTTTGAGTGTGTATCAACATCCCAATTTTTGTAAATATGGGTTGTTCATATACAACATTATCAAAAAATAAGAGCAGTAACTATAATAAATTTAAAATTTATTGGTAATTTTCTAACATTTCTTCAACAAGTTTACTTTATACTTCTAACATCTCTGCTTAAACTCACAAATTTTATCGACTATTTATTTTTTTTTTTAGCTTAATAGGAGTAGATAAGTATGCCTATCATCCAGTTCACATTCCTCCCTGTTCATCCCTTGTTTCCTGTTTAGGATTGGGTTTCAGGTTCCTTCTAAAGTCTACTTCAACTCTATACTTTTAATGTTTCTGGCTAAACACCTTTTTCTGTAGAAGTAGATAGGTTTATGTATTGTCCAGTTTACACTCCTCCCTGGTCTTTTGAACTGGAGTAGCAGTTTATACTTTGTTTCCTGTTTAGGATTGGGTTTCCAGTTTCGTTTAAAATCTTCATATTCTCTTTTACTCTAGTAGTTCCATGCACGTTAGTAGCATTATCACCTTATTTAACTGATTTATTTGTTTAATGACACATCAATTCATTACGGATCATTTAATGTCAAAATTTAATTTTCTTGGGAGCTTTGAAGTAATAAAAATATGTATATGTTATTCTGCTTTCACATGGTAGATGATACTCAGCTTTTGTGCATATGCATATACATGTTTGTATGGACATAATTACTAGAGGTAGTGATATGTATGTGTGTGTGTTTTTTTATGTTGTAGTTTTGTTGAAGTTATATTTTGGAATACAGTTTGATTTTTTAAGAAACTGTAGGATATTACATAGATTAATATCATGAATGAGTTCTTTTATGTTGGTTGTCTTTGTTTAATGGCATATCAACCACTATAGGTTTTTTCATGCCAAAATTTAAATATTTGAACACAATTTTATGACTAAAAATAAATATATACTATAAATAGATATTGTTGGTAGTTTTACTATAAATAGGTATTGTTGGTAATTTTTTTTATATCAAAATTTTTATACTTACAGTGTTTTGTTTTTCTGTAGGCATATTATTTCTAGACTATATATAATGGTAATTTATTAAAATAAACTTTAACATCTCTTATGTTACAATATAATCTCTTATATAAATGGATTGTTAATTTGTGATATAGGATTTTGTTTTGCCTTTTTTTAGTTTTGTCTTTGTTGTTGACAGTGCAAGGACTTTCTTGTATTTCAATTTTGTCTAATGAACCAAATTGATTTTTTGTTTGAATTTGATCTGTGTCTTTGGAGTCTTTGTGTTGTGTTTTTATTACTGTTTTTTGGGGGCTTTAGGGGACCTTTCTCTTGAGCTCCAGAATGATGATGGGTATTCTTTTGAATGGGAAGAGGTGGATGGCGGATTGGAAATTTTTGTGATCTCTGTTTGGTAGCATTAATCTTTATGGGGAACTTTTGGTATCTTTAGAAGGGTGTTCTAACAAGTAATTGTTCTTTTATATTAGTTTCATTTTTATTGTTCAAATTAGGTCTCATTGCTTGAGAGTGGGTTCTGACTAGTAATTGTTCTTTTACATTAGTTTTGCTTTTATTGTTCAAATTAGGTTTAATTTCTTGTATAAATTTTGGCCAATCAATTGGACCCAGTCGCATCAATTTTTATATCAGGATTTCATATTTATCATTAGTTTTTTTTTTGTGATCTGTGAGTAGGTCACATTTTTTTTATGTAACCTTCCATGGTTTTGTGTGCATCCTGTTAGGAGATATTTATAGCGTGCTTTATGCTCATAATCTTTTTCCTTCCTCCATACCTCCACACTGATGTATGCTTTTTTGCTGCAATTAGAGCATTTGTAATTAATCCTTGCATTCATTTGTCATGTGGTCTGGGGCTTCTTGACCATATTTGCCACACATGGTTTTTCCATGGCAGGCATACTCATGATGACCAAACTTTTGACAGTTATAACATCAGAGTGGGTTTGGGATATAATATTTGACCTTCACAATGTTATAGCCTATTTCAACTTCTTTTAGAATTGTAGGCATATTGAATGTTAGTACATACATGTTCGTTTGTATTAGTTCTTTCCATTTTTTAATGCTGACTCTTCTTACATTGACGATTCTTTGTTGTTTTTAATTCAGTTTTTATTTTTTCCATGGAGCAGTCGGACAGCTGTTTCTCATCACTCCCCTTTTTCTTTTTCTACTTCTCAAGCTTTGGTACCCAAGATTACTACCAACCTGTGGATATTGTTATCATCATTTCCTCTTTGGCATGATTGACCCTACAGTCACTGCCTTCTGATTTGAGAGAAAACAAATAAGGGCATGAAATGACCAGCTGATTGATTGGATCAAACCTCTCCAACTGCTCATCTAGCACAAGTAAGGGCCAAAGTAATATTTTGGTGATCAAAAGTATCTAAATCTGACTTCTGAAGCTATCAACCACCAGAATCCTGTCCCCAAACATTATGGCTCACCACCCGCATCAAACAAGTGACCTTATTGGTGGAGTGGGGGGGGGTACCCTTCTGTAGAAGTGCAGTCGATGTATCCCAAAGCCTCAGCAAACAGGATGGTTGCCTTGCCTGAGGTGAATTGATTAAAAAAGGAAAAAAAGATTTAATGGATATTTTCCAATTTGTGAATGTTTTGCTTTCTGGTACTGTATTATGCTGTTAAGAATTAGCCTTTGTGATTATACAATATTCAAATGTTAAATATGTAACTTATGTGAACAAAAAATCATCAGTACCAGTTTGTTCAAGTAGAAATATCTGTACATAAAATGCTAATTTATTACCAGTTGAGAAGACTTCAATATATAGAAATAAGACAGATCAATAAGAAAGATACTCAAACTACAAACTAAGGGAAGTATATATAGATCATACATAAAGTTTAAATTTAAAATTTAGCACAAAAAAATGAGAATAAAAGTAAGGATTAGAATTCCAAAATCTTTTAGGAATATTTTTATATGAGCCAATCAGGCAAGTGGTGATAGATTCCAAAATAATTTCTTTGCTCAACCAATTAGTTGATCCCAATATTTCAGTTTTCTTTTTTATGGCACAAGTGATAGTAAGGTCAAAACTTTGAATTATTTAAGGAAGAAATGAGGTAACCTGTTCTATGATTCCATTAAGGAAAACAGGACTTGGTTTGTAGATAATGCATGACAAAGACACAATAGCATACAACAGGTTACTGAAATGGTGGTAAGAGAAAATAGATATCAATACATAAAAATACTGTTTGTTATATGATTCTGATTTGACTACAATGATATTTTGCTATGGTCCAATCCATAAAAAACATAGCAGATGGTTTAGCAATTAAAATTTGTAGTTGATTGTGGGTGCATTATATCAATGTTTAGCTGCTTTAATGTAATGTATGTACACTAGAGGGATTTTACTACTACTAATAAAGACTCACTTGTAGAGAAAGAGAAGAGAGACATCAACCAAACATAAGACTGAGCAGAAATTTTAAACTTCAATGGTTTTACAATTGAATGGTTTGCATGATAAAAAACTGTATTCATTATTTGTGTGAGTGCAATACACACAAACTGATCATGATAATAAGTCAACTTTTTATCCGTAGATTCTCACATACCCAAATGAACTGTGTATTTGGGTTAGAAGAAAGTAAACAGGATGGAAGTAGAGATAAAAACAAAATGCTAACAGATAGCACTTCTGAAGAGGTGCATCAATAAGAAAAATGTATAAAAGGAATAAAATATGTAACCTTTAAAGTTTTAAATCTATATTAAAAAAAAGAGATGATTCTGTCAAGAGTCCCATTAATTACTAGACTTTTGCATGTGCATATGCAATATACGAATATATGAAAATGTGTTGTACTTCAGTGATTTACAGGTGCTTGTGTCATTTAATGTACAGACAAAATTTGCTTGTAATAAGACAATGAATAATGCATCTCCCCAGCCACTTCATTCTGACAACAATAACCCAGAGCTGAGCAAGCCATCATTTTTTATGAAGAAAGGGATTTTAAAATTTACATAATCTTTTTGTATATTATAGAAAGTCAATAAAAATATTTTGATGATTAATAAATATATGCATTAGTTAAATCCATTCAAGTGAATGCTTGGTTTATAAAAACTGTTCAAAACTGTAAGCAGTCCTGGCATCTCTTCTGAGAACTCTGTGAAAGTTGTATAATTTGTTAAACTCATGCAATAAACATTGAGGCATAAGTTAAATATGAAATTCTATTGAATAATTTATCATTTGTATTCTTTAGTACAGTCAGGCTGCTTCAGCCATTGTTTCATATGGCTTTCTTCAAAAATCTATTGTATTTGATAAGCTTCTGGGAATTTAGAACCAAAATTTAACCACTGAAATAAGGATGTTAGTCTAATAAGATTAACATATAAGAATGATAACTAATTTCAGAAAGACAGAAATTGCAAATATTAATGGAATATATTTTATTGTGTCTTTCAACTAACAATTGTTAACCTGCTCCCTTGTTTATTTGTATGCATTTTTCTTTGTCAGGCAAAACTAATTCAGCACCTGTCACATTGCTGATGACAAGGTGATCAAATTTAAATTGGTTGTTCATTTATTAGAAAATATATTCAGTTTAAATACAAAAGTCATAAAAAGGATTTCAAAGGACCACAAATTTTAGCTTATACCCATCATATTACCCAGGGGTTGTTGCCAAATGGAAATTAGTCCTTGTGACACAGATGTCCATTTTAATTTCATTCAAATTGGTGGGGGTGGTGTTTAATTCCACGACAAAAATATTTCTACAAAATTTACAAAAGTCTTCCAGAGATACTTACTGAATAATTTATTATATGTTCAATAAAATATTACAATTATCTGTTTCTTTGTTTCCAACTTTATTATTTCATTGCTCAGCTCTGGGTAGGGGTTGTCCAGAATGAGTGGCTGGGAGATGCATTATTTCATTGTCTTATTACAAGCAAATTTTGTCTGTACATTAAATGACACAAGCACCTGTAAATCACTGAAGTACAACACAGACATATATACGTATATTGCATATGCACATGCAAAGTCACAAGTAGTGTGTAACTGACAGAATCATCTCTTTTTTTTTTTAATATAGATTTAAAACTTTAAAGGTTACATATTTTTATTCCTTTTTATACATTTTTCTTATTGATACGCTCTTCAGAAGATTGCTATCTGTTAGCATTTTGTTTTATCTCTACTTCCATCCTATTTACTTTCTTCTAACCCAAATACACAGTTCATTTGGGTATGTGAGAAGATACGGATAAAAAGTTGACTTATTATCATGATCAGTTTGTGTGTGTGCACTCACATAATGAATGCTTACAGTTTTTTTATCATGCAAACCATTCAATTGTAGTTCCATTGAAGTTTAAAAATTCTGCTCCAGTCTTATGTTGGTTGATGTCTCTCTTCTCTTTCTCTACAAGTGAGTCTTTATTAGTAGTAGTAAATCCCTTAGTGTACATACATTACATTATTAAGCAGCTAAACATTGATATAGTGCACCCAGCAATCAACTACAAATTTTAATTGCTAAACCATCTGCTATGTTTTTATGGATTGGACCATAGCAAAATATCATTGTAGTCAAATCAGAATCATATAACAAACAGTATTTTTATGTATTGATATCTATTTTTCCTCTTACCACCATTCAGTACCTGTTGTATGCTATTGTGTCTTTGTCACATGCATTATCTACAAACCCAAGTCCTGTTTTCCTTAATGGAATCATAGAACAGGTTACACTCATTTCTTCCTTAAATAATTCAAGAGTTTTGACCTTACTATCACTTGTGCCATAAAAAGAAAACTGAAATATTGGGATCAACTAATTGGTTGAGCAAAGAAATTATTTTGGAATCTATCACCACTTGCCTGATTGGCTCATATAAAAAATATTCCTAAAGATTTTGGAATTCTAATCACTTACTTTTTATTCTCATTTTTTGTGCTAAATTTTAAATTTAAACTTTATGTATGATCTATATATACTTCCCTTGGTTGTAGTTGAGTATCTTTCTTATTGATCTGTCTTATTTCTATATATTGAAGTCTTCTCAACTGAGTAATAAATTAGCATTTTATGTACAGATATTTCTACTTGAACAAACTGGTACTGATGATTTTTGTTCACATAAGTTACATATTTAACATTTGAATATTGTATAATCACAAAGGCTAATTCTTAACAGCATAATACAGTACCAGAAAGCAAAACATTCACAAATTGGAAAATATCCATTAAATCTTTTTTTTCTTTTTTAATCAATTCACCTCAGGCAAGGCAACCATCCTGTTTGCTGAGGCTTTGGGATACATCGACTGCACTTCTACAGAAGGGTACCCCCCCCACTCCACCAATAAGGTCACTTGTTTGATGCGGGTGGTGAGCCATAATGTTTGGGGACAGGATTCTGGTGGTTGATAGCTTCAGAAGTCAGATTTAGATACTTTTGATCACCAAAATATTACTTTGGCCCTTACTTGTGCTAGATGAGCAGTTGGAGAGGTTTGATCCAATCAATCAGCTGGTCATTTCATGCCCTTATTTGTTTTCTCTCAAATCAGAAGGCATTATGGCATTTTTTAATAGACAAAGCAGCATGTAAACAAGTATTGTTATGTAGCAGCATGATTTTCCAGTTTTCCCTGTCCTGTAAATGGCCATTTTTTCATTCAATTGCTACATTTTGTCTTTGAAAGTGATGGCTGTAACACAGTGCATTAAGAGTTTCACTTGGTTTCAGTAAATCATAATAAATTATGCTTTTCATATAACACCATATAAAAAAAGGGTTATGTCTTGCTGTTGATACTGTCCTGTATCCATTCATGATTTTCAATACTTTGTATTAATGTAGTGAACTCACTTTCCATCGCCAGTGACAATCTTCCATAATGAACATTTTTGTTTATTGTTCAAAAGAAGTGAAATGTAGGTAATGCGATGTTGTTCAAGGTTTCACTCTGACAATTCATGCAGAACTTATTTCCTTGCTTTTTGGTTTTTTTTTTTGTTTTTAGCTTTCCTCAAATTTTCAAATGTCTTACAACTGTTGAGTGAACAACGTAAAGTTTTTCAAACATATTCATCACTCTGAAACACCAGCTGCAGACAACTCTCACTAAAATAAACATTCATTTGAATGGCTATAAGTTTAGTCTTCATACAAAAAAAAAAAAAAATGTACATAAGATATTCACAAGAGAGTGCTAAAAAGATGATACCTAAAAAGATTATGTTGCACCAATCTTCTATGGAGGGAAAGTGACATCTTTTTTTTAAAAGGTGGGTAAGAACAGTAACTACTGGTGTCAATAGGAAATATGCAACTACTTCATCCACAAGGCAAGTAACTTATTAAGTCTGACAAAAAGCCAAATCAAGAAACAGCTCCAAGCAAAGTATGTCTACCTGCTTTGAAATTCAGTACTTCAAAATCCCAGCTTTTAATTGGATTGGAACTCTTGACATGGAAAACATTTCAAATAGGGTTTTGCCTGAATTATAGAGCCTAAAGAAAGCACTTGACATGAAAAGTTAATTCATGATTATGCTTGTTTAAATTTTACATAAAAATAGCAATCATAAAGACAATGTGTGTGTGTGTGTATAGGCAGAGGAGAAAGTTTATAAACTCACCTCATAAAACATTTGATACTTAGATTTTTAGGAACAAAAAAAATGCATAATCGTAAATCAATAATTTTTTAAAAATAACCCCTTACACAACAAAGTTTATAAAAGAAACTTAAATAAGAATTAAATTTTAAAATTATTTTAAGTAGATAAAAATAGGAAAATAAAGAATGTTTTAGTGGGGAAAAAAGTGAAAAACTGAACTATTAAAAATTAAAATAATTGAAATTGAAAGAGCATCATAAAACAAAAATTCAGAGTTAGAAAGTAAATTTAAAAAAGCAAAGAAATAAGAGACAAGTTCATAAAAGTGAAGAATTTTAAAGATTTTGCGATGATAGTATTGTTTTTTTTTTTTTTTGTTTTTTTTGTAAGAATCAATTTAAATTTTTGGTCTCGTCTTCCTCATAAATCAACATCAGTGGGGATAAATCTAAGAATAAGTTCTTCAACAATTAAATTAATTTTGTCCTTGGTCCCCAAATTTTCACACCTGACATATAGCACCTAAGTCATTTTGTCAGGTTGCTGTGAGAGCAATAATGATGTGTAGTATTAATTGAATAATAAGTTTTACAACCCGACCTTTCCGTGTATTCATCCCCACCCGGTTGCCTGTCAAGCGGTTTGCTAGTGCTACTAGGCAAAGAATGAGCAAGGCATTCTTGACTGGCATCTGTTGCAGTAGTAGTTGCAGCAGCTAGCCAGTATTTTTAGTGTGTTTCAGCTGTCTGATTTCGAAATCACAGCTTCAACGATCTATAAATAGAATAATCAATTCTTGGC